AAATTCAAATCCTTTACTCACGGTTTTTCTTCAATTTAATGAACATATTGCTTCTTATGATATAATATAATTATCTTGTAATATTTTACATTTACGGAATCACATTCGGACTTAAACCGAACGATTACCGTAAAACCGAATATTCTAAAAATTTCGCTTTCTCTTAAAATAATTTAAATAGACTATAATGTCTAAATAAATTTTCTCACTTCTTTGAACATTTATCACTTAAATGTTCATGGATACTTAACCGCACTTCGAGACTTAACTTGTCTCAAATTGTGCTAAGGTTCGATACTAGGATCTTATCTTGATGACTTGAACACTTAGAAAAATTCTAAGTATTTAATACTAAGGCTCGGCTATTATACAATTCATGACCGAACATACTTGGGTTCAGTTCACTACTTATCTTAAACTATTAATCAAAATATACTCAATTTCGATTATCCGCCATCTTATATTAATTAATCCCGTCTTATAAATCCATTTATAAAAATAAACAGACCGGAATTAATTAATTACTGAACTGACTCGATTACTGAATAATATTGAACCAAGAATACTTTCGACTTAAAGTCGAATTTTTAACTGAATAACTTAATAACTGGCTCAGAACTAGGAACGAGCATTAATAAAAGTAATTAGTTCATAGAATAATTACTTTTATTAATTACTGAATGAGATATTACAAAAGGTGGGAACCCTGTACTGGGATTTAAATGTGCTATATTCTCAGTTACCACATCCGAGGTATGTACGTAAGAAAAGGTCCCCCGATAAGTGGGTAATAGCCTACCAGTTTAGGTCCGTATGATTTAATGCCTGTGTATAAGCCGATGTGTCCTTAACTCAGGTTCTGATGGGATTTCAGTACTATTATTATTCCATTGGAGTGTGCACACGATACCGACCAATGTGTCTGAAAGCAGTAATAATTCAGTTATATTTATATATGCCAGTTCTTTCAATTATATGCATATATACCAGTTCTTGATGTTATGATTATTACTTCTGTATATATTTGGGTTTCTACGGAGTATCATGGTTATGTACTCACGTCCCATTATTTATGATATTTTAGGTAATGGAGTCAAGCGTGCAGGATGAGTAAAGGTGGTGGTGGTCGAGCCCAGATGGCTAATAAATGACATTTTTATGTTTTGTAATAAATAATGATACATGATGAACCATATTTACGTTTCCGCTACCTTTAAATTTTATATTGTCGAATAATGCATGATTGCAGTATTTTCTTATATCAGTCTATCCCGATGTGTGATTGGATTGAAATTTGAAATAACAATTGGACAATAAAGTTTCTTTAAGTTTAAACCAGTATCTTAGGTTAAATTAAAACAAAACGATTATTAGAAAAGAAAAGGGGACATCCTGAGATAAGTTAAGTATTGTTTGAAATTATTATAGATAGTTTTTGGAAAACAAAAAAATTTATGATTTCAAGCTAATTAAAAGCGGGATGTTACACGGGCAGCCCAGTCAGACAGTCTTGTACAACAAGGTAACACCCCTATAATTGGATAGTATGGGACAAAATGAAAAGAGAGATATATAAGGCTAGTATGTCTGAAGAAATTTACTGGCAACAGAAGGCAAGAAAAAAGTAGATTAGGGAGGGTGATCAAAATACACAACTCTTTCATGCTTATGTGATGCAGAGGAGGAAACAAAATGCAATACTCAGATTGGTGAATGGGCAGAATGAGGTTTTTGAGACCAAGGAGACAATTGAACATCATGTAGCTGAGTTTTATAAAGATCTCTTCACATCTGAAGGTTCAAGGGGAGGATAAAAACTGCTCCAAAACATTCCAGCTTCAATATCAGATTCCCTGAATGCAGATTTGTTGGCAACAGTGGAGGAAGAAGATATTAAGTTTGATCTCTTCTCAATGAATCCTAGAAAGGCACCATGACCTAATGATATGTCAGCTATTTTTTTCCAGCATTTCTGGCCCATAGTTAAAAATGATCTTTCTGTAGCAGTTTAAAGTTTCTTTTTGTCTAGCAGATTATTGCCTTATTGGAATCATACTCTGATCACACTTATACCAAAATGTTTCAATCCTACTTCTGTCAATCATTTCAGACCAATAAGTTTATGTGTTGTGGTTTATAAGATAATATAAAAAAAGTTAGCACTGAGACTAAGGAACTGCATTAGTGAATGTGTGAGTGGGACTTAAGCAGCTCTCTTGCCTGGTAGATTGTTAAGTGACAATGTAGTAATTGCTAAGGAAGGAATTCATTTCTTAAATAGGCATAGACCAGGAAAACACAGTTTTATGGCAGTTAAGCTAGATATGGTGAAGGCTTATGACAGAATAAAATGGAGATGCTTAAGGACGACAATGCTTAGAATGGGCTTTGTTTTGAAATTTGTTCAGTGGATTATGGAATGTGTTACTTCTGTGTCCTCCTCTTTTATATTAAATGGGAATGTATGTGGGAATATTGCAGCATCAAGGATTTTGAGACAGGGAGACCAACTGTCTCCCTATCTGTTTGTTCTAATTTCTGAACTGCTATCATTCTTTATTCCTACTAAAGAACAAAAGGGAAGTTTTAGAGGTCTGTCAGTGGCAAGAGGTGCTCCAGCATTAACTCATCTTCTATTTATTGACAATTCGATTGTATTTTGCAAGGAATATGTCTATTAGGCTTTTGGGTTGGTGTCTATGTTATCCAAATATCAAGAATTTTCAGGTCAGAAATTAAATTTGGCAAAATCATCAGTGTTTGTCAGAAAAAATACACCAAAAGCCAATCAGAGAGAAATTTGTCAAATTCTTGAAGGAATTCAACCCCAAAGATCCACAAGATATCTGGGACTTCCAATGGGGATAGGGCTATCCAAGAAAGAAGTATTTGGCGTTGTGGTGGAGGCAGTAAGGAGTAGAATAGTAAGCTGGAAGAACAAGTTTCTGTCAACTATTGGTAAGGAGGTTCTAATCAATTCAGTGTTGAATGCTTTACCAATATTTGTTATGAGTTGTTTCAGATTGCCTGAAGGTATATACGCGAATAGGTTGCTAGGATCTTTGCCCAATTTTGGTGGAGTAGAGGATCATATCAGTCTCTAGGGATACACTGAGGAAGATGGACATCGTTGAGCACAACAAAAAAATCAAGGAGGATTCGGCTTTAAAGATGTCAGCCTGTTTAATGATGCATTGCTAGTCAAACAGCTGTGGAGGGTGGTAACTAATCCTCATATGTTGATGAGTAGAAAAATAAAGAGCAGGTACTTTCCAAATCCTTGTTTATTTGATGTTGAACTAAAACAAAATTCTTCTTGGCTTTAGAGATCTTGGTGGAAGGTAAGATGGCTCTTCCAAAAAGGACATCAGGTGGAGTCAAGAGTGGTACGACTTTAAGGGTACAAGATTACAACTGGGTTCTAGAGATTGAGAATAGAGGGCCTAAGATTAAAAAATATTTCAGGGTCAAGACTTATGGGCCAAGGAACTGATAGAAGTGGACAACAGTCGGCGAAATGTGCAAAAGGTGATAGAGTTATTTGAAGCAGAGGAAGTGAAACTATACTCCAGATTCAAACTCTAAACCCTGCACTTGAAGATTAGTGGAGATGGAGAATTAACAGGACAGAAAAGTTTAGGGTGGCACCATCTTATACTTTCTTAAGCATGAAGAAATTACAGGAGCTAGATGTGGCTGAAGGAAGCTCAACACCGAACATAAACAAGAAGGTGAGATTGAGAAGCTGGAGGCTACAGGTAACAGGTAAAATCAAACAATTTATGTGGAAAGATTTTTCTGGTACTTTGCTTGTAATTGTGAATGTGTGGAGGAAAGGAATTGTAATTGATGTTATGTGTCTTGGTTGTGGGCTGGAAGAGGAAACTATTGAGCATGTTTTTTGAAATGTGAAAGAACCAGAAGAGTGTGGAAACATGCCCTGTCTGCTAGGATGGTTTGAAACATGACAATGGCAGGTTTGATGAGTGGTGGGGAATGATTTTCAGTGTAGATTGGTATAAGGTTTCTGAAGTCAGGATAGAACTTACCACTTATAAACTGTGTGGCTTTAAAAAAATCAGGAAACCTATGGTTGTTTGACGAGGTTTGGAGGTCAGAGATTGGTACATTTATGGCAGCAGTAGGAGAATGGTTGCACGCTGATCAGTTTGGGAGGGGCTTCTAGAAAAGGCAAACACAGATCCTGAGCTAGGTTTGTTCCTTGGAGCATTTCAGTGGTTGAGGAGTTTTATATTGTTTCTTTTCTTTTTTGTGGACTGTTAGAGTGTGAATTGTAGTTGTATTAAAACAGAAGGTTTTAGTGTATGTACTGCCTTTGGTTTTGTTTGTTCATTTGTTTGGATTTCTAGGCTACATGTTTAGTTATGTAGTTCTCTCTGGTCTATACCCTCGGCTATTTGGGTTTTTCTCGTTCTGTATTTGGACTTTGTATCTCTTATTTTGTTAGTGGAGTTCTCCTATTGTTTCATTCAAAAAAAAATAAAATTATCTTATGCTATTCTATATCATAACCTTATTTTGATATAATTTATTGAGAAAATTACCCCACACACCATACATTTTAGTTTTATTACACAATTAAACATCTATTGTAAATATTAGCAATTCTACCTAAAATCATATTTTTATTTGTAGATATACCAGAATTCCCCTTTTACAGCCCTAACACACTCCCAAGCGCGTTCAAGAACTCGCCCGCGAACTCAAACGGCGTCCTCTCGATCCCTCTGCTCTTTCTGAAGTGCCCTTTCACGCCAACGTCGCCAGAGAAGCACATAAGATCCTTACTCGCGAAACGATACGGCCCAACAAGGAACAACAATCGCAGAATAAGCAACTACGACGAAATAAAAAGTCTCACTTTCGCAAAAGCAAACCCCGAACAAGATCCCAATTTTGCAGAAGATGAAAAGATTGACATGGGACGAGATGCTGATCGACAATGAGTTTGTTGATAGTGATGAACAAATTAAAAAAAAATGACGGACATTCGTATATAGTCTGTATATCTTTCGTATGTAGTCTGTATATCTCCCCTGTATAGTTTGTATTGTGAGAAAATCTCCCCTGTATAGTCTGTATTGCGAGAATATATACACAGAATATATACAAAATACCATAAAATACTTATATATACACAAGATATATACACATTATAAACATAGACCTCGACAGCTAATCTGGACAAAATCTCAGATCTGATTGTTCATCTTCTTCCTTGCGCATATCCTGTGTCCTTTCACGTTCAGCCCGCTCACTACAGCCCAAATTTTATCTGGCGATTTGCGAGCAACACGCAACCACCCTCGCACCTTCAGACAAGTACGATGATGTCGCACAACCTCAGCCTTTTTGCTCCTCCTCCGTGCAGCGTGCGACCGACGAGATGCAGTCTGACGTCATCCAACCCTCTCAAACCAGTCGCCCGCATCCCGTGCATAAGACGATAGCCAGAAGCTTTGTGGAACCGTCGCACTCGACCGTGGAACCCTTTTGCGCACAACCATGGACCATAGCACGCGGCCTTAAGCTTGTCGATGATGTCACTTTTTAGACTTTACGATGTGCAAAGATTAGGGATTTGGTAATGTGCATGGATTAGGGATTAAGGATTAGGTAGATGTGAAACTTGTAGTGCCCCTTTCGTTTTATATAATTCCTCGCATTTTATTTTCTATTAGCTGCGTTTATTATTTTGTGCTTGCTTTTATTTTTATTTTTTACATGATTTCTCGGAGAAGAAGAAGGGAAAGTCATGTGACCATCAATAGTGGCATCATCAAAGTCGTTGGTTGCGCTAGAATCTAAACAAGAAGAAAAAAAGAAAAAAATATTTGAGGGAGGTGAATCTCAAGAAAATGAGCTGAGGCACATGTAATTACATAATGTATATTGAAACAGAAATTAAATAGAATATTATTGATAATAAAGAAAAGGACTTACTTATTGACATGATTGGTGGGCCATAACGAAGTAGCAACAATGAAGACTGAGATTCTTGAAAAGAAAATATAAGGAGAGATACAACAGAGGTGGAAAAGAGAAAAATGAAGGAAGGCCTACTTAGAGGAAAAGATGGAAAAAGTGGAGGAGGAAAATCGAGCTCAGTCGTCTAATATAGGTCGATATGGACAACCAAGATTGGAAGTTGAGAAAGCCAAGAGGCAACCCATAGGACCGTTCGATCAAGGTCAAAATGGATGGGCGAGATTAAAAGGGAAAGTTGATAGGACATGTCGATCAAGACTGTTGGATAAAAGTAAAATCAGATGGACATGAATGAAACACCATTAATTGGTGCGTTGTAGTAGGGGTAGGATTAGATTCTAGGTGATTATGTTGGAGAGGACATTACACTGATTTGAAAGGACGTTATACTAACCTGACAATCTATTAGGAATTTGAATTGATGAACTGGTACTTAGGTCGAACTGGTTGTTTTGTATAGAATGAAATGGAAGGTTGAGCTGACAAGTGGGTCCAAAAGATCGGGAAATTGATAAATATAAGTGAGGATAATTGGCTCTACTCTTGGATCGAGTTATCTCTAATCCACCAGAGTTGGGGACCAGATGATATAGGATACCATAACAGGTCACGTCTAACCAGATCGGGTTACCGGTAGGTCGGTCAGACAACAGGAACATCAAAGGTCGTAGAATCACCACGTCGATGGTGACCTCACAGGTAAGATAGCTCGACAACAAGTCGAGCTAGGGCTCTCGACTATCATGATAGAAACTCGGTCTGAAAGCCTGCAGGTCGATGTACGACATAAGAGATAAGCCTATCTATTAAATGTTGGAGCAATCTAGTTCACGGAAAACCGAGTTGATAACATATTTATACCACCTAATGAGGTAGGCTAATGTGAACACACCATATAATAGATAAGAAGGAATATAATTAAGATTAGATGGACAAGTGGATAAGAACACATAGACTAATAGAATTGGGCAGTTTGAGCACTGGGCTAGTACGAACGGGTAGCTCGGGCACACGGACTGTAATACCCCAATATCTTATTAATAAGTAAAACAGTGTTTCGCTACCGAGAGTGAGCTAATCCTTATTAATAAAAGCTCATTTCAGCTTCCCAGCGTAATGTATTCAAATTATAAACTCTCAGTTCGAGTTTAAACTTGGAAATATTCGGATGAGATTTTATCTAAAAGCCGAATATATTTTTAGTTCAAGTCTCTGTTCATTTGTAACGCCCCAAATCAGAAATAATATTAAGAACGGTTTCACTGCTCGACTATAAGTGAAATCCGTAATTTTCAGAAATTTCCCGAGTTATATTTATTATGCTAAGTGCTCAATATGATAAACTATTCTTTGGAAGAATCCTATCCAAGTTAAGTTAAAATTAATCCATTAATTTGGGTTGCTAAGTTTGGTTCGAGAAATTATCAACTCCGAACCCTAGTTTGGTTCCGAGTCATTTTCTAGAAATTTTCCGAGGCTAGCCAAGTCTTGGTATTTTTATACTTAGAATAATTTCTAAGTGTGTGGGAATACCAAAGTTCAAGCCTTGGACATTTTAAAAACCGAGCCATAGTCCATACCCGAGCCGCTTGTGCTTGTCCCGAGCCCCGCGCCCTTAGTCGCGCCCAACCAAGCCTAGCCGAACCCAAGGCTTGTCCTAGCCATAGCACATTAGTCCTAATATTTTTTCTAAGTATGGGAGACACCATGGAAGCCTTAACAAGTGAGGAGCTAGGCCCAAGACCCCATTTCCCCGCGCAGCCCATTTCCCGCGCCAGCCAGCAGCCCACTCGCACCCAGGCCCAGTGCCGCGCCCGTGCCTAGTGCCCGCCCAGGCCCAGCGCTGGCAGCGCGATAGCCCATCTTCTTGGGTCCAAATGGCAAAGTTTCAGCCCACTTTCACCCAAGAACCCTTCATGCCTGTATTATACACTTAATAAGGATCAGTTTAAGATAAAATAGCCCTAATGAAGATCAGCCTAAGTCCACAAGAGATTAGCCCAAAGTGGACATGTGCCTTGCATTATAATATTCAAGATGTTTTGTCCTTGTCCCCCATTCTTGTACAAAGGCTGACCAGATTCCTCCACCATGATATTATACTCTGAAATGGACTCAATGACCGTGCAAAGGTCACTCAAAGTCATGCAAGACCTCAGCAAGTCCATAGGTGCATGAAGTGTGGCATATTCCACTTGTTTGGTCTCCCACCATTTCACCTAGAAACCTCCGCCCAAATCATTACTTAAGGAGCCTTACTCAGTCCTTTCTAAGACCTTTGACACTTAGAACCCCGACCAATACTTGGAAAAATTAAGAGATAGCTCGAGCACAATCTCAATTGCCACTTGCGCGCCTGAGTAGACCCGAGAAGGAGGAGCAGCAAGGTTCCGCGACCTACAACCATAATCTCTCGAGGCTTAGCATATTCTAAGTATTACTTAGATTTTTCTAAGCCTTTTAGAGTTGATTGGCCTGAGCAAACCGCAACCTATGTAACGCCCCGCTCTAACTTAATTATCAGAGTGCGTTTACAAGACATATTTTAAAATAGTTCGAGAAAATGATTCGGAGCGTTACTAAAACATCTATTTTTTTTTAAGAAACCCGTTATGACCGTTTAAAAATTTACAACAAAAACGGATTTACATAATATACAATCCGACTATAAAATCGGATCAAAAGTCAAAGTTCGACAAACAGTGAAATCAGCGGAAAGTAGCGTGGCAAAATATACAACAAAAACATTTAACTTCGATCCACCCGTCAACTTCACAGCTCCGGACCGACTTCATGACCTGAAAATTTTTTGATAAAATGGGGTGTGAGTACCACTGTACTCCGTAGGAACTCATACTAAAGTAAACAGCAATAATAATAGTAACATCATGATCAAAAGCATATAACATAACCGTGAATTTCCTGGTCAACAGTATAAACCGGACCGGGATCCGTGAATCTACCGGCTGTCATGATGATAATGATAATGATAATGATGATGACAATAATAAGCCGGAATCCATGTGCACATACTAGTGGTAGATGACGCCACTAGAACTTAGAACGGAATTATGGCAACCTGAACCGGCCAACATCCATTCCAAGCGGAAAACATGATTGACATACCTTGAACATGATATCGTAATTATAATCAATGTAATACCCAGTCTGAGTCCCCACCTGTACTGAA